AAGCCAATCAGAAGTGAGAATTATGCTACAGCTGCAATATGTTTGAGCCATGTTATCACAGTGTTTTGGACATTAAAAGTGCGGGATTTAGACTAACATACATAAATATAGTTTAAATTAAAATTATACAAGAAATATGTTTAAAAAACTAAAAACTGCCACGCCCATATATTCAACCCTTTATTCCTGATAATTAAGTCTTGTGGGATAAATTTACTTCAAATAGCCTGAGTAAATACAGTCCACCTGTGTTAAGCTAAAAACATTACTGTTTTGATCAGGCACGTGCAACTCCAGTTGCAATAACTATTTTAATGAAACTTTTTGCCCCAATCCTTACCTCAACATGTATAAATGAAATAGCTAAAGTTCTCCATGGACCTAATAATAAGAAACTCATTTAATGCAGGTGTTTTAAAGCTGTGAAAAATCTAAAAACTGCTGGACTCTGACTCTTAATAACTGCAGCAGAATAGGGCAAGATTACACCCACGAGCTGCAACCTTAACGTGGCGCGGTTGTTTGAGTGCCCGGATTATCCTAGGAGCTATGTTGTCCGGGGCGTTATGCCCCTATTAGGGTCTTTCATGCCAAAAAGGTCCTAGGTGATGGCTCAGACTAAGTGCAGCTTACAAGACCCCTATTGATAGTACTAAATCAAGGACCATGACGTCGCCCGGTATGGCGCAGCCGGGGCCCCACCCTGGGGCCAGGCCTGGGGTTGGTGCCCCCATGCGAGCGCCTGGTGCCCAGGCCTTTGCCCACAGGGCCCAGCCGGCCTCAGCCTGAACCTACGACGTGGGCCCCTCCTTCTGTGGACCCACCACCTGCAGAGGGATCTGTAGGGGTCAGGTGCAGAGAGAACCGGGTGGCGGTCGAGGCCTAGTCCACGCACCCAATTTCTGGCTGTAGGGACGTGGCACGTCGCATCGCTGAGGGGAAGGGGCCTGAGCTTGTGCAGGAAGTTGAGAGGTACCAGCTGGATATAGTCTGGCTCACCTCTAAGCACAGCTTGGGTTCCGGATCCTGTCTCCTGGAGAGAGGCTGGACGCTCCACTTTTCTGGCGTTGCCAACATGGAGAGGTGGTGAGCTGAGGTGGCCTTGCTCATTGCCCCCATCACAGTCGTTAGGTGTTGGAGTTCACGCCGGTGAATGAGAGGGTCAACTCCCTACGCCTTTGGTTTGGGCACAGGTCTCTCACCATTGTCTCAGCCTATGGGCGCAATATCAGTGCAGAGTACCGGCCTTCTTGGAGTGCTTGGGAGAAGTACTAGATGGTGCTCCAACTGGGAACTCCATTATTCTACTGGGGTACTTCAACGCCCACATGGGCAGCGACAGTAAGACCTGGACATGGGTGATCGGTAGGCTGATCTGAACCCAAGCGGGGTTCTGTTATAGGACTTCTCTGCTAATAACAGTTTGTCCATGCCGAACAACATGTTCTAGCACAAGGGCGTCCATAAGTGCACCAGGACACCCTGCCGGAGGTCGATGATCAACTTTGTGGTCGTGTTATCTGATCTCTGGTCATGTGCCTTGGACACTCGGGTCATCCGATCACCACCTGGTGGTGAGCTGGATCTGCTGGCAGGGAAGGAAGCCGGTCAGACCTGGCAGGCCTAAGCATGTTGTGAGGGTTTATGGGAATGTCTGGTGGATCCGTCTGTTAGTGCGGTCTTCAACTCTCACCTCCGGATGAGTTTCTCCAAGATCCGAGCGTGGTTGGAGACATGGAGTCGGAGCGGTCCAACATGTGGCCCAACCAGTCCACATGTGTTTTGTGGATCTGGAGGGACTATGTATCTGAGCTTGCCTGGTGTTGCCTCGGGGTCCCCCGAGAGCAGCTGGAGGCAGGGTGTGGGGATCGGGAAGGCCTGCTGCCTCTGCGACCCAGCCCCGGATAAGCGGAAGAAAATGGATGGATGGATGGCTGGATGGATCTCAGAATGCATGATGGATTGCATCAACTTCTACGCGGTTAAAATCATGTCCTATTCCAGACAACAAAAAAAATCAAGTTGTCTTGTCTTCTTTTTCTTATAAGTATTCTGTTGGTTTTTAATGCAGAAATGTGCATATACATTTGATCTATATATATATATATATCTATATATATATATAGATATATATATATATAATCTTTTTTTGTACATGCATGCTTTATATCTGGGTTTCACTTGCTGCAAGGACATGTGAAGTCCTCCACATAATAATGCCTCTTTCTATCATACTATATATATAAATATATGCTTCTTTCTATCATACTATATATATATATATATATATATATATATATATATATATATATATATATATGGCAGTGAAGCAAGAGGTTTTATTAAATGCAAACCACAACTGGTTTAAAAAGCTACCTGTTAAATATTTATAATAGTTTTATTATTATTTTATAATGTTTTAGTCAAAAATCATAGAAAAGGAGCTAAGTTTGTGGGATCTGGGTCACAGTGTGTGGATCGCGGACAATATCCAACACGACACTTTTAAAGCCTCTGAGCCACTGTAGGCGGCAATATGACTCATGCTTTTAATATGATTGGCTTCTTGAGATGATGGTTTGTGTCATGGCACCTGGAGCACAGAGCGATGAGCGCAGCTTTGGCTCACAAAATGATTTGCTTGCAGAGACTGTGTAATGTGTGCTATGAGTGCGCCAAATTTGTAAGTGCAGCAGGACGATGTTAGATGGTATCACTGTGCCAAATAGTACCCAATGTTTTGTAAGACTACCCCTCAGTTAAGGTTAAAGTTTAAATCAGGAGGGTTTCTTCCTGCTCTACTTGAGCAGGAATGTGGGTAGGAGAAAGACGAAAGAAATGGCCCTGACTAATATGTGAAATTTAAAACCTAAGACATGCCAAAATGCTAGTATTTGACATTGATCCAACTCAAGTAAGCAAGGCAAATTGTTGTTACCTTTACATAGGTGGTTTGTGTGAGAATGCTTGCTCATGTTTTTTTTTAGATCGATTGAAATCATCTTAACAACTTAGATATCCTACAGCAGCAGAGGAACCATGAGCTTCACACATACCCAGAAATGCAGCTTTGACAAGTGTGAAAGCTGTACTGTAATCTGAGTAGACTGTGAACCCTGGCAACTGATCTGGAAAACTAGCTGTTGCAAACAGAATTAATAAGATATCAGGTCAAAGTTTAACAAGGAATAAGAGCCATATACAGAGAGGAAAATACATATGTCTATGTATTGATATATTCATCAAACCTGTTGCAAACTATGGGGTTCAACTCTGTTCTCTTTCTGTCTAGACTTGCAAAGATTTTACATTTTTATTTTGGTTCTCTTTTGGTTTTGTCTGTTTTTGATACTCTGATAATTCTAACGCCATCCTGTCTTGGAGTTATCACCTTTTATCTGTCCTTCTGACTTCAACCCTTCAAATTTGTTCTAGGTTGCAATGTCCTTCTTTAATCTACCACAGCTTTGTTTCCCCTATTTTCCCAAAACTGTTTACAGTATTTGGTTGTATTTTTGACATATTCTTCAACTTTATGACTGCTTCAACTAATTAGGTAAGATAAAATTGTGTTTTTGATTTGATAGTTTCTATTTATACAGTGGGTAGAAAATGTATATTTTTTACCAATATTTCTACAGATGCATACACTCAAGACACAGGAATTCTAATTTATAGATCATCATTCTACAATTACTTAGTCAAGCAAAATCTGATTTTTTGAGGGTCAAGTGATCAGGTCAAGCTGTTTAAAGTAAGTGGGAATGACTGTTTTAAGTCACATTTGAGTCACATTCCTATGTGCTCTGGAATCATATCTTCTCTTTTAAAGTGAGTCTTGTGGGATCTACGAAGGCAGATTATGTGTTGTGAGATGATGTTTTAATATAAATGTGTCTATTTCTTTGACGTCATTTTACAGTCCTCACATTTTTGCACTGCCCCCAGAATACTGCAGCACTTAACAAAACAGACAGGAGCTGGGATAATACTGCACAGGGGAGAGAGAAAAATATTGGAGTTGTCAATAAATAGAGATCAAATTTTATTAAGGCCTAATATAAATACTCTCAGAACTATCAGGATGTATGGGATACATAGTTTGTATTGTAAAATTCATACTGGACCCTACAAACAGATGACTTTAGAAATGTTATCTTGGTTAGAGAGCTATGATCTGCCTCTGTCTTTTATATATCTGAAAAAAAGTTGCCCCAAATAATCTGTTGTGCTGAAATGGCAGTAAGATCTTCCTTAAACATCACAATAAAGAGAACCAGTTCCCTTTTATCAATGTTTGTCGCACAGCACCCGCTGACACATTAAATGGCTGTATTTAAACCATAACACCTATTTCCCTCTGTTTACTGTTGTGCTGTTGCTCTTATGTGTATTCAGGTCAGTTTGGAGCTGTAAGCAGTTTGCGCTGAAGTCAGATATAATATTTTAAAGTTAATGGGATCACCAGATAAAACAAATTACAGCCAAAGAATCTGATTTGCGCATGAAGACCTGGAGTGGGAATGTAGCCCTATTGCTAATATCTACAGGGTCAGAATTAGACTTGTGTTCACAGAATTTTTGATTATTGCTACTTAATCTAATTTCCAAGTCCCTTACTAAAAGCTAAGTGACTAAAACAAATGTTTCAGAAATAAAGTCTGTTTCTGTAAGATTTCAGCAGGATAAGCTTTATCAAATTAGGGAAACTTTAATTGTAAATTATTCACCTAAAAACCCAAAATATGCCCAGAGACATTGATATTCAACATATAACTCATTAAATTACTTATTGAAGTGATTCATCAATGTTGTGGTTTCGGAGAGAGAAATCTTACAACTACTAAAATTGAATTTAATGTCTCATTTCTACATGACCACCTTTAGAGTGTACAAATTGAAGATTTAACCAACCATACTCAATCACTTCACCTCCTTCATCTTCACACTCTCACAAGCAATGCCTGTCACTGAATTGAGTGGGGACTTCAGAGGCCGACCTGTGCTCTCTGTGGCATCCAGACTGCCTGCTAGCTGCTCCAGCAGGCGTGCCCTGGCAGCATTTCTGCGGTGTTTCTTTCCCTCATAGTGCTGCTGGGCCATCAGAGGGTTGTTGAACCAGGCTCCACATAGGCAGCAGTACTTCCCAGCCTCTCTGCCACCATTTCCACTGAGCTCCGGCGTTGGCCAGGGTAAGGCAGGGGAAGTGTTGGAGTCTGAGGTTAGTGGGGTGGAAGGTGAGGAATCTGGAGGAGAGAGTGATAAGGCAAGAGTTAAAGCTGAGAGAGAGGGATACAGGATAAAAAAAGAAAAGAGAGAGGATTAAAGGTGGATAATAATGTTCATTCAAATGCAAATGTTCTACTAATGCAAAAAAGGCATGACATGAAAACACTTTATTATACCGGTAAGAAAAGCATAATGCAATCAAATTCGGAGTGAAGAATAGTCAATCAAAGCAATCTGCACTCCGGTCTTCAAGATCTTATATCTACCGTCCTGCTTAGCCTTTCCATTTTATCTTTTTTTCTCAGCATTGCAATGTATTGTCTTTCCTCTGAGGGACTGAAAAAGAAATGGCAGATTTCCAGGTGACCTGCTACTCATGACACGACACTGGTTACCATGGTGATTGTCCATTAATAGCCAACAGGCTCTGATATGACCACAGGACGTAGTTGTGGCTCTCGCAGAGAAGACAGCATGTCTCCGTGTGTATGGGCCTGGCTTTTTGAGGAACAAACTCCATGTTTAATCTCTTGAGAAAAAGTGTGTTTGTGTGCAAGAACTAAGTTTCCAAACAGCCTGCTTGGATGTGTAAGGTACAATACGTGTAAAAAGACATCCTGGGAGGGGGGCTGGGTCCACAGCCGGACTGAGAGAAAAAGCTGACGATGCCAGATGGTATCTCCAAATGTGCCAATTCACTATCCTCAATGTGTTAATGACTCTAAAGTCAGAGCGACTATGATTACAGAGCTGCAATGCCACACGTTTAGTCATTTTATATCACAAACAAAAGCCCACTCACATGTGCTTTCAAGCTAGAATGAGCCACTTATTTCACAGAAACCACAAGCTAACCACTAAAAAATGAAGAGCATGCTTAAAATTTTTGACCACTGACCCTTGTTTGCGGAGGTCTGCTACTGAGAGGTCTATGTAGGCCTGTGTTGACTGAACTCTAGCCATGCAAACTGATTGGCTGCTAATACTTTGATGTGTCTCCAGTCTCTGTTCACATAGTTACCGTAGCTATGGCTCTTCTTCTCCTCATCGCACCCACCACACCCACCCACATTTGCTTTGCCACCCTGTCTTCTCAGTTGCTCAAATACAACATTGTAACTGTGTAGCTGTCCTTTATTTTCAATTTTTTCTCTGCCACCCTCAAATATTAGTTGGTCATCAAAGTTCTCTGTGATGTTTGTCTGTGCATGCCCGTGCACAAGTGAAATATCTCAACTTTGACAGCTTTGTGGAAGAAGTACTGAGCAGAAGTAGAGAGAGAGAAAAAGATTCTCCAATGTAATTTCCTCTCTCTATCCCATGTTTTCCCTACATTTCCTCTTTTGACTGTGATCCTTGTACATTGGAGCAGAAATAAGTGTTTTTCACAGAGTGGAGCACAGGGAGAGTGTGTGTGTAACAGTAGAAGGAAATGCTTGATTGATGTGCTCAGAGGAACAGACACAGGTATCTCAGCTTTATCTCTCTGGAGTATCTCCTAGCATCTATTGACTCTTCTTTTTCTTACTTCAGCAAATGTTAGTTTCCAGATTTCTTAAGCAACTGCTTTAGTAACTCTACTTCCGTGTGTCTGATGATCATGTGCATGTATGCGTGTTGTGCTGCCCATGCACGCCCTAGCCTGTCAACTTGAGTGTGTGTCTTTTGTACTGTGCTCATCTTAGGGAGCTCACAAAGGCTAGCTTTGACTTTAATCTCTCCTGAAATCCTCTCCTTCTCTCCCAGGTCACTATTTCTCTCTTCTTATACGACTTCCCCTGTATCTTTTCCTCCAGGTCCCACTGTCATAAAGAGACGTAAATTTGAAAGTAGCAGAATCACAGAAGTGACAGTTTTCCAAAGTAGGCCAAAGTTTAGCAGAAGTCACTTTGGGGGTTGATTATAACACACCATTTTGGAGCAATGGTGTGTTTACAGCTCTCTGACTTTCCTCTTTCAGTCCAATTTGTATCACATTATGTAAAACATCCTGGGAGAGAACTCCCCAGATCACACATTTAAGGAAAATATACTCAAACTCTCATAAGAAAGTACTATGAAATAACTGTAAAATGATTTTCTTTATTTTTATTTTGAACTTGGTTTATGCTGTAACCTTTTTACCTTGTTTTATCACATTTAAACCTGTTAGTTGTAATACCAGATTTACTATAGTCCTGTTAGATATGCCATACCTCCAAGTACCCTGCTTTATTGTCCCACTTGCTTACATACAGTGTTGCACACAAACTTAAAAATGTATGTTGGGGGTTAAAGAGGGCTGTAAACTAGCTTCTTAATAGCCTTACCATTTCTCAATGCTTTAATTTAGGAAACATTTTCTAGCGCTTTTAGCAGGTGTCACCAAAAATAGTACTAGCATAAAGAACCTGGATGGTTTGAACTTAAAAATGTGCCTAATGTTTATTGCAGTCTGAGCACTTTTTTTTTGGTATAAATGTTGTGATAAGAGATATTTTGATAATAATAAATGTGTAATGCATTGTGACTCACTAATGTAAACTTTGGGGCAAACATGTATTTTGCAACATTTACTGTCAAAGAAGAGGGCATGTTGACTGCTATGAGTGTACATCTGTGTGTGGGTGAAATTCATGCTGTTAAAAATATATCGGTCTCTTTGGGAATCTGTTATTTATTATGTCTGCCTCCCCCCTCATTTTAATAAAACGATTTTAAATGAAGGATCATGCCCTAGCCATACAAAAGACTAAAAATACTGTCCAAAGTCGCTTTAAAATCCCTTGTTTTACTCCCTGCCCCAAGCTGGGAACAAGAAAAACTATCAATATTTAAAATTAATTCAAATATTTTACATTTTAGGCAACTGATTTTCAACTGATTTTCTTTAAAATAAGACTAGATGAAAATGCAGTTTATATCAGAAATAAATAAGCTGGAAAAGATTAGTTTGCAAATACTAAGCAATGAGAATTAATATTCATCAGCATTTGTCATTTTTATAATGAGGACTATTGCCAATTCTATAACAAAGTTATTACGCACTAGTTTTTTTATTGTGTTGAAAATCAGTTTAAAATCTCATAAACTATTAACAAAGAATTTGTTAATAGGGGGAAGCTGAGCAAAACTACAAACCCCAGTCTTTTTCAATCTGGATTTAGTCTACGGGCCCCATTAATGCTCCTGAGATGCTTGGTTGTACTACATCAGTGGTGCTTGCATTTCTTTAAGGGGCGATACAACTTTTGGTTTGTTCTGGACTTTCATTGGGCATTCTAAATGTTGCATTTTGAACAATAAACACATTCATGTGGATAAAGTGGAACACCTAATCAAATATTTAGTGTTTTATTCAATATAAAGATGTACAATGTGATTCTTGTTTTTCGGTGGAAAACTTATCAATGGTATCGAGCTGAGGAAAGGTTGCAATACTCCTCACTTTTAACTAGAGATGCTTAACAAGTTTTTTTTTTTTGTATTGGGAGTAAATTTCAATTTACTCTGCAGCATCTAAAAGGATAGAGATCCAGGCTTAACTCTGCTGATGTTTCTTAATACCTAATTGTCTCTCTCTTTCAATTCTTAATGGATTTGCTAATTTTTTCTGTTGTCATATTTTAGATTCATGTTCCGCTACAGCATATTTTTATGCGGGTGATATTACATTTTCCTCAAACACCATCTGATACATGGTACGTAGAAATCAGCTAAGATTTTATAGCTAGCAAGTTCCTGCCTGATAAAAGTATCCCCCAAAATTACACTGCTACCATCAAGCTTTAGGGTTTGAATTAGGTTCTGCTAAACATATCGGTTCTAGCATAACTTGTTCTCTGTTATGCTACAAATGAACGAATGAAATCAGATTCAGTCTCATCTGTACAAAGAAAATTAATCCATAAATATTAATCTTTGTCTCCTTTCTCTCAATTGTCAGTCTGGCCTCCAAGTTTCCTTTAGAGAAAACAATTTTACTAATTCACTCACATTAAAAATGAAATAGCTCTTTATACTTTTTACATACATAAACAATAGCAAGAGGCTGCCTGTATTCCAAGGTTAAATCTAGGCATCTGGATGCGCCTTTTACCGTCTAGCTTTTTGGGATTGCCAGACCAGATGGTAGCTATTTTATTTTAAGATCCCTTACCACAATCTCATTAGCTGCTACTGTTTTCTTTCCTAAGGCATCAGACAGCTCTTTGGATCATAGAATTCACTCTTACTTGTAATGTTTGTAACTGTTTGTGGACAAAACAGATATCTCCCCAGGAAAGACTATCAGTGTTCTAAATAAGTACAATGAGAAACCACAGTTATTTTAAATAGCAATACATGGGGAGAGGCCTTAAATTATTTCGTATTAGCCATCACATTTTATCATGAGGTTAAATGGTCAGATTACTATATGGATTACATAAGGTTTGTCAGAGTATGCATAAAATACCTTGAAGTCTAAGCCAAAAAAGATAAATAAACAATAGCTTTCAAATAGAATTAAATTTTTAACAGTCATTTTTAAAAACATGATTAGTGTTTAATTTTGTCACTATAAGTTGTAACATTAAGAAATCAGTTGAGTTCAAGCCATACACAGTACAAAGCTTACAGCAAATTATCAATACATTTCAAGATTTTAATTATAATGCTGGATAATTTTTCTTTTTTTCTTTCTTTTGTAGACTCCCAGTTCGAATTTAAATATGCTTGCCTCAATCCCATAATGACTACTATGACATAATTAGTCATCATTTACTAAAACACACTGAATCACACTAAGACTATCCCAAAAGGTACAAGGATAAGTATATTTTGTATATTTTTTCATAAAGCATACTTAAAAAATGGTCTTTCAACATTATTGCTAAAAGATTTTGCAAACATAAGTAAAGCTGAAATCTACCTGTGTTTGTAGGACTGGTTATGGCTGTGGGTAGGTTTGGTGGTTCCCCGAGGACTAGACGCACTCTCTTGGCATGGGTTTTGCCCTGGTAGTGGGACTGGGCCACAATGGCAGAGGTGAAGAACATGTTACACAAGGTACAGCACTTGTTTCTGTCTACTTCTGTTTCTGCGCAATCCTAGAAGAACAAAAGAAGGAAAGATGGTTAATGCAAACTAAATGGCAGGGAAGGAAAAGGGTAGGTTTGGAGAAAAGTAAAAAGGAAATAATGGTGTTAGGAGATGAAGGAGTGAAAGAATAGCAGGAGGTAAGGAAGTGAAGAGAGAGAAATAACGCTTTTACTGAACTCAATGGGCTTTCTCTTTCTCTAACAATCACACACAATGGTAAAGAAAGCGATGATCAAATATGCATCTGTCTCTCAGGGCTGAGATTGTGGCTTGCCCTCTCCAGTGCTGCTGATTCATTACTAATGATGAACCACAGTACCTTCCTGTGGGACATAAACTAAAAGACCAACTGTGAGTAACACAAATGTGCAAACAGGCGCAGATGCAAGTCGTAACCAGATATACACACACAGACAAAAATAGAGATTTACTATTATTTAAAATAAAATAAAAATATGAAAAGCGTAACGCCACCATAATGTAAATTGGGCTGTACTGTGACCTCCTGCTGGAGGAAAGGACTGGGAGTAGCTTACGCCTGTCTTTTTGGAGACGGTGGGCTACTTTTGGTCTGTACTGACAGATAACTAGTCTTTGCAGAGTCTTTTATTTTTGCTCTGAGCACTGTAGTAGAAAATTTTAAATGGCTAACCACGTTTTCAGATAAGAAGAATTCATTGCAGGTGGACTTAAGCTGCCATGCTTAATCTTTCTCGTAGTGTTGATGCCCTATGTAAGGTCACTGTACAGAGCCACAAATTTAGCTGTACTATGATCTCAATAGGTTTTTTTTCCCTACAAAAGAGAAAGTCTCTGCCACACTAAAGCGCCGGTTGTTTGTTGTGCATCAGTTAGCAAGCTCTTCTAGCCATTTTATAAGCCATTTATTTCATTTATAAATAGAGTGACTTTCCTTTGCGTCCATGCAAGGAAGGAAGTTAAGGTGATGTTCACACTGCAGGCCTTTTTTTTTTGCATTGCTGTTGACATTTAAAAATATATCCAAATTTATGTGATCTCCTGTGTGAACTGCATCCATACAAAGCAAGTGTTCTACATGCTCAGTAGAGGACGCAATGACATCACAAGCAAGAATGCTCTTTGCTTATAGGGAGTTAACATGAATAGTAGTGCTGGAGCGCATCTAGCAGACTTTCCCAACCTTAAAAACTAAATTTTTGTGGCCCCTCCGAATTATCGTCCACTGTGTTTGTTGTTTTTCATCCCGCTTCTGGGTAGCAAGACGCAGAAGAACAAAGAAACTTTTTTGAGTATTAATGACGTTCAGGTCCGATGAATTCCACGCGGTTTTTCAGACACAGGTCGCATTTGAAAAGATGTGATTTGTATCGGATTTTGAACCACATAGCCAAAGCTACATTCACACTTCAGCCTGAATTGATCCAAATCAGATTTTTTTTTGCACATATGGCAGTCTGAACAACAAAGATAATTTCTTCAATACAACCCAGGCCACTTGTCTATGTGATCCTAAATCTGATAGGACTCTGAACGTCATTAATACTCAACAAAGGTCACTATTCTGTGTCTTGCTATGCAGAAGCGGGAAGAAAAACAGCAACCATGGTGGACAATAATGCTAAGAGCAGTCCTTTTTTAACCATCTTGAAAAGATTGAGTTTTTAATGTTGGGAAAGATCGCCAAATGCACTCCAGCACTACCATCCATGTTTACCTCCTTAAACACAGAGCGTGCTTGCTTTTGATGTCACTGAGTCCTTTAATGCTCATGTGGGGCACTTGCGTTGTATGAATTCAGTTCACACAGGGGATCACAAACAACTTGCATATATTTGGAAATGTGAACGGCAACACAAATAAAATTGGATTTACAAAAAAATCGGAATTGAGCATTAAGGCCTCTGGTGTGAACGTAGCACAAGTGACCTCAGTTGCATTGGAAACAATTGGATCTGTGTTGTTCAGACAGCCATGAAAAGCTCGGATACAGGTCGATGGGCAAAAAGCCTAAAAGTGCAGAGGATTCCAAGGTAGTCTTCCACTGCCTGCAGTTTAAAAATATCGGATTTTGGTGTGACACATAAATAAAATATATTTGTATTTTATAATTATTTTTTTTAATTTAACATATTGAAGTATTGTCTAATGAAGAAGAACTAACATTTTATTCTTAAAGCTTATATATTTATGCCATATATTGAAATCTACAGAGAGGACAGGCTTTTCAGACAACTTAATGATTACACAAGAACTTTATCATCATCTCAGTAGTGTGTATAAGAGCATTTCAATAATGCGTATGAGAGTGTTTCAATAGTTCTGTAAGAGCATTTTAGTAGTGGATATGAGAGCGTTTCAGTAATGTGTATGACTGCTGTGCAACTGCTGTGCTTTTTGGATACCATAGAATATGGAAAACACAATCCTGAAAGATTCAGTGACATAGCACAGTAAAGTAAATAAAACAAGCTGTTTGGCATCCCCTTTCATCCAACAACTTCTGATAAATGTTTAAGTTTAACCTTTTTTGTTCTTCTAAATTGTCCTTGTATCTTTGTGTTCCACTTTCATTTCACTTTCCTATTTTCTGTCTGTTTGCATTCCAAGTGAAAAATTCATTTCAACATAAACAGCTAAGTTGTGGTAAGTGAATACGTTAAACGTGTTGTCTCTGGTTCACCATATTTAAATGAGAGGATGCAGGCTGTGTGTCTTAGAGGATGTGTGTGTATGTCTCTCTCATGTCACCCCTAGTTAGCATCAAAGACAGTGGATGTGAGAGTTGAGGACACCTTTACCTTCCAGGCTTTCTTTCTCTCTCTCCTTCTCCCCTTTTTCTTTCTTTTGTTTTTGTCTTGCCTGTCTTCCCATTGCTCTTAGCATTTCCTCCCCTGCATCCTCTCTTCCCCTCCGGGCTCCAGTCTCAGTGACTCTGTGTGTTGTGGGATGAAATATTTATCTGTATTGGCAGGCCCTCGCCATCCCCTCCTCTTTTTGCCCTCTCCCGGCTCGCCTCTTCGCCTCCTACATGTCCGTTACTGCTGTGAACGACGTGTAAATGTGTGCCATCCACTATCCTACGCCTCTTTCTCACATCAATAAAACAAACTGAACTTATTTCAGTTTTATCTGAGACTTGAATGCAATATCTAATAATTTGTTCATAATTTCCTTTTAAATCTTTTGTTCAGGCTTAAAGGTCAGGAATTAAATGTAGGTTATCATATTGATTTACATCCACATATGTAAAAATAGCATCAGAAAAAAAGGTTGGGGAAAACCTCAAGGAATGCAGCCAATAGATTGTAAAAGAAAAAATAATAATTGAAAAATCTCTGGTTTAAATGCAGAATTACTGTATAAAGAAAACATTTATTTGGTGACAAGAATTATTGACTGAGAGCAGTGGCTTGGAGTCAACTAGTAACCTAAAAAGCCCTATGTGGTGAAGCTAGGCAATGTAATTTGTCGTGGTTAATGAATGCTTGTAGTTAAGTATAGTTTTGTGATACAAAATTATGGCTTTTTTTCACTTATTCAATGCAATTAACACTCTGTTTCTGTTGCGTACTATAGTGTCCCAAGATTTACTGCAATGTCCTCCAACAACTGTGTCCCCAAAGTTTTTTGTATTATGCTGTCCTGCCATGCAACCATTATGATGGTCTCTTTTTTTTTACCATATGATAATTCCATGTTTTTCTTATAGGGGTCTAAATGTACTACAATATTTTAATAGGTGAAATGTAAGCTCAAGTAAACTGTCTGTTAATGCACAAGAAGTCTGCAGTCTTGTGCAGATTTCTAAGAGAAGTTTCATGATTTCAGATTACTTAGAATTATTCGTCAAAGTATTCTGTTGTCATTAGACAGATTCCCTGATACTGTTGGTGTTTTTTCATATATACATGAAAGTACTTTTCTGGTTTCAAAGGTTTGAATAAAGAAGCCATCTCAGTATCAGAACAGAATGTTTAATATAAATGCCCTTTTAAAGCCGATGGAGATACTGACAGTCATTCATTAATGATAACTGTTACTGTTGTTTGTGTTTTTTTTTAGAAACTCTTGAGAGTAAATGTTTCCTATCCTGTCTTGTTCTTAAAAAGAGAGTTTTCCTTTTCATATCCCTCGCTCCCTCATTTCTCCCCCATAGTCTCTTGTGTGTATACTATCTGCAACATTTCCTTTTCTTTTTATCTTACTGTTCCTTCCTTTTACCAAATAGGTTGCACAATGTTCACCTCACACTTCTCTGATGTATTGTATAGCTCAACCAAAATCTCAAATGAGGGGAATTAAACTGGGCTGGGTTTTTTCCTAACATTTTGTATTTCTTAGTTTTTCTTTATTTAAGGACATAAATTAGAGATTACAACCTGTGGGAACTTGAAGGGTTGCCACATGCTATGGTTCTGTAAAAAAGATCAACAGACACAAATGGCAACCAAACAACTGAGAACCATCTGAAAGAAAAAGACAAAATAAGCCTCATCGAGGGGTTTATTGAAAGCAGGGTAAAAGTTTTTAAACAAATCCATGCATTTGTAAGTGACTGGCAGTTGAGTAATTGCCAGCTCATTATTGCTGCCAGTCTGCTCAACCTCTTTGAAGAAAAAAAACACGTCTGACTCATTGTTTTTTTTTCTATCCTCTGCATTTGCTGAAAGTCATCAACCTTCCTAAATTTTATTTTACTGTTGTTACCTGTCACACTTCTAAGATCCATTGGGGCTCATTTCCATGCCCTGTAATTGTCGTATGCATTTGCTTTGGATTTATGTATGTATGCATGCATGCCTGCTTATCCGTTGTCTGACAGTGACGTCTCTATTGCTGCACTTATTTTTTGTTAGGGTGACTATTTCCTGCTCATGCAACTAACAATAGACTACTAATTAGCAGTGTTTATCTTCTTCTCCTTCTGTTTTGTTTTTCTGAACTCCTCCTTGATTCTCCCAACATTCTAAGCTGACTTGGTGTGGGAAGTCTTGCTGAATTTACACATGCAGGGTAGATTTTTAGAAAGCTACTAAAAAAAATTTTGAAAGGGGTTACAGCACTAGCATAATAATTAAAAAGAGAATAAAACCTGAAGGTAAACTGATATTTTCCACCTTGTGCAAAGGTAGAAAAAGTCACAGACAGAGAGAGCAAATGTTAAAAAAAAAACCTCCTTCACATCTGCTAGCACCTTTACGACCTACTTTCTCTCCATCTTCTCTGTGACAAATACTTTCACAAACACAGAAGCACAGAAAACCTCAAGGCATGGGATTATACTCTGGCTGTTCACGCAGTCTAGAAAACCTTTTCTGTTGTTCCCACTGGACAGCCGCATGTCAATCAGAACAAAAACGGAGAGTAACACAAAAAAATAGGAAGTTGCAGGGCTGAGAATATGTGTGTGAAAGTTCCCGTGGGAGGAGAAAGGTAAAATAGATGAAAGGAGAAACGTTTTTTCTCTCAAACTGACTGCAGAGTATTTTATCTTTGTTCATCTAATATCAGCTTCTGAGCGTTGTCTGATACAATCAAACACAAAGCATAGCTGCAGCACTCACACTGCATTACAGTATGGCAGATGATTGGTATGTGTGCTTGTCTGTTGACCTGTTTATATGCATTCACTGTCCCATATGAGAAGCGAGCCAGGATGGGCTGAGTCACATCTTATTCACTTTGGGAGACAGATGGAGGCACAGGTGTCTTTATTTCTATAGTGTGTTTGAGCCAAGACCTCTTCACTTGATATTTAAGTGCAACCTGGATAATTCTACTTCTTCTTTTTTATTTTTTTTTTTTTTTTTTTTTTAGAAACTACATTATATTAAAAATCTACTACTATTATATTATTGATCCAAAGGTATTGAGTACTTTAACAGTGATGAGACCAAGGGGAGTTCAATTTCAAATAATCTGGTTGTATTCCAATTTTTTTATATTTTTTTTATTTTTAATTTTTTAATTTTTTTTTATGTTTTGGAGAAACCTTTTCAGAAATAACCTATTTACATATCTTTACTTTCAAAAGGGGAGACTATCTAAATGGATATGTTGGATTAGATTTTTTTTTTTTTTTAAGTAGAACCTTCATCTTGTTAAAGTGTTAGATGCTCCCAATTATATTTATTGATAAATAACAATAGTATAATTGAACTTTATTGATCTCACATTGGAGAAAATTTGCCAGTGGGATGCCATTGTGTGGCACCCAGGGAGTAGTGTGGGGTTAAGGGTCTTGCTTGGAGACCCAGAGTGGCAGTCTGTGGGAGTCGGGCTCGAACTAAGAACCTCAGGATTCGGAGCAGTAACCACTAACCATTCAGAGCACTAACCACTAGGTCACCATTCCCTCAAATAAATAAAGTTATGCAAACTTTAATCAACTATAAAAAAGCCTTTTCTGTGCATAAGTAATGTAGTTCTTCATCTCAGACGAGGGGCTTATGATCTTGTCATGTGTTGCATAACTCTTTACTGTCTAACTGCCTGATAGTAGACAACAAAGTGTCTGAAAAAAACTGAAAAGTATTATTTTCACTTAAGCAAAAAATCTAAGAACTCTGAAATAATCGGGTATCAGTCATGGTTTTAAATACCTATTATTGTGTACAGCTTAGAATGTTAGCCTGTCCTTAATTTAAAATGATATTTAGATAGTTTAATGCCTGAATGTAAAAAAATAAAGCCTCGATCATGAAAAGATTGACTGAAGTTATAGACTGTTTACATTTTTTTAACCAAAGTCTTTTAGTTGTGGAAAAGTTTTTTTAATTAAAAAAAGAAAAACATTTAATCCACTCATCATGTTGCTCCAAGCTAAAGGACATGCATAAATATAAATAACTATGAAATCCCTTCACCTATTGTTGAATTGAAATGAATTATCTCTTTTTAATGATTATCTCAATTATTCTAGATCTATTTTTCTAGATTTTATTATTTAATTAATAGTTTCTATTAAGGTAGTTTTTTGGTGCAGTAGCAAGAAAAAATGTAGTATTAGCATGCTGAATCTTAAAATCTATAAACTGGTAATGACTGGTAAATTCCTGATCTCTGCATCTCAAATTCCAGACTACCGGTAATTGTATTTTCATCGTGGTTTAAATCTCTGTGCCCTGTGGGATTTTCAGTGAATATATAATTTTATGTGATAATGAATGTTTGGCTACACACAGAGGAAATAAATTATATAAAACAATCACGCTCAACACAATGATAAACAGTCAGAGACAAACAAAGACATCAGAGAATCTCATTTTAGGGGGCAAGGGGGAGAAATGAAAAACTAGGCCAAGATATCACCAGAGAATGTTATTATTCCTACAAAGGCAATGGTTTTTTTTTAGCAGCAACTTCATAGTACTGTTCTCTTTTTTTGTTTGATGCTAGGTTTGTCTTAATTGGTTTTCCATTGTAAAAGATAACTTTATCTAGCATTATTTATTTATTTATCTATTTTTTTTTTTTGAAGAATGCCTATGAATATGACTGGCCTTCTGCTGTGATTTATTTAGATTTTGGTGTACAATATTTTTATTTCTAATCCCCCGTCTCTTCAAAGCCGACATGGTAAGTATTCTCTGTGTGTATTTCTGTTTCATGCCACATGGGTCAGCCCAAATAAATTGGCACACATTATGAGGGTAGACTCCTTTGTGGGACCCTGAAAGCATTACAATTATTACACATTCAAGCACATGCACCAAAACACATTCTATGCCTTGTGTTAAAAGTGCAACAATTCAGTTAAAATGCAAATGCAACCTCAGCACTTGCTATAATTGCAAAATGTGCAAATCAGGCCATTTCTCAAAATAAAGCACACAGAAGGACTGGGATAATGGAGTGTCCTCTTTAGCAATAGCTAGCAATTATCAAACACAAAACTACTTGGCACCATCTGCCTCTACTACATCTTACAGGACAGATTCAGAAATATTTAAAGCAGAACCATAAATGGCAGAGCAAATAGTTTCCTACACCAGCCAAGGGTGAAAAATGGTACGCTTTGTGTGGGTTTAGGGTCAGTTTTGTTTTTCCTTATCTAGACGTAAAAAAATAAAATAAATATTTTGATAAAGATGCTAAATATAACGCAGACAAGTCAACAAGGAAATCCAACTTAAGCAAGAGAAAAAAATATTTGTGTATTAGTTTAACATTAGAGTGTTAGTCTAGTTAAAAAGAAACAAAGAGAGAAATACATAAAAGATAACATGAAATATGAGCTTACTGGGTTATCTGGCCTCAGTCTTTTAGAAGGTGGTCCTCCATCTTCAGGGTGAAGCATGTAGAACAGACGTACCTTGTTTGCATGTTTTTTACTCTGCAAAAGACAGAAAGCGGGGAAAAAAAGCAATCAACAGCTACAGCTCACAGTCCTTCAGAAGAGTGCTTTTCAGTTTTCAAAGTCAAGACGTAAATCAAACCCAAACTAATCTGCAAAATATGTGCAATGAGTCGATGCAATCAACTGGTTTTCCTTAGGTAGAAAAGTTTGACTCAAATTGACTGTATGATCTGGTTGAATTGTAAAGTGCCTTGAGATGACAGGTTGTGAATTGGGTATATATAGATAAACTAAATTGAATCTATGAAAATGTATATAGACAGTGTTAGAATAAAGGCAACAAACAGATTTAAATGTCTGCTATCTGTGCAAAGCTCTTTAAGAATTAACATACAATATACACTAGCAGCTGAAATTGCAAGAAAGGTGATAAAGGCATAATTCAATGCCTTTACAGAGGTTTAACTTCATTTAATGTTGTAATCCACTGCATTATTATTTGCAACCCAGCAGTGCATTGTTGTTTTTTATTATGTCTTTATCTATAACATGAAATCCTAACAAAAAATCAACAAAACAGTAAACTCTGTGGTTAAAGAAGTTCAGGAGAAGTAATTTGTTTCCAAGACTTTGTAGCCTGTGGTTATGTGATAAATGTTAATGGGAGCACGATTAAAACATTAAGTAAAAGATTAGGGAGTTAGATATTTCTTCACCTTCAAATTAACACTTTATTTTGCTGAGAGAAGTGGGAAAAGAATTTAGGTTTAGCAAGTGATAATTAGGCAAAAAACAATGTGACAAAATAATGCAACCCAACATGAAGGAAAAAAAAAATAATACTTGATAGAACAGAATTAGGGTCAACATGTTAATATAACATTAACTGAACAAGTTTAGAGGTACAGAGTGTGACATTTTTTTTATTTGTCCCTCACTTATTTAGATTTCTCCAAACGGAGTCCATTCTGGTGTTATATTACTTTAAAATACAGGGACTGAAACGACAATCACTGCAGAAATGTTTATACGAAAAGACAGTGAGCTGTCCTTGTAGCTGCTAACTGTCACTTTAATAACAAGCAACGGAAATAACTACACAAACTGCAGGGCTTAGATGTGTAAATGCGAATATGATCAGACATTTCTGGCAAAGTCAGGCTTTCATTTCCTATCTCTTTCTAAAACCTATGATTGTCTCTATTCACTGTGTACTGCTGCTTCTGTCCTATAAAGAGACAAAGAATAAAATGGAGGGGCTCCAAGGAAGATTTCAAGAATGGCAGGCATTTAGCTTGCAAATATAAAACAGTTCAAAGCTGATGGCATACTGTATGTTGAATGGTAAGAAGTGAGGATAAATGTTTATTACAACTGAAACCAACACAAAGAAAACAAGGCAATACTGCACTTGTAGCCCCTCAGCTTATCCTAGATCCTTTGCCCCAGGAGAGAAGTCCCCCTCAGCCTCCTCCTGTTAATACATTTTGTCGGTAAGTATATATGTGTTTTGGAGTGTCTACGAGTGTGCTGTGTGTTCATAGGTTTATATAGTCTAGTTTTTGATGGCTCTGGGATATGGCCAGTAAAATCTGGACCTTAAGTCAGCAGGGCTACCCTCCAATGACCCTCAGTGCTTATGCTACTCTAATGGACTATGCATGTCTCTACTCTATTTTCTCTGTGTTGGTGTGGCAAGTCAAGTCAGTGGAGATAGATGAGGGGACATCTTAAAAGGAAAAAGGCATGTTGTTTTAAATTGTGTTTGTATTCTCTGTTGAAGCTTTAAAACAAATCTATGAAGTTTTTCATTTTTTCATTAAGAAGACCATTTGCTTAAGCCTAATGTTTGTTTATACTTTTTAACAAAAAGGTAACTATGCACTTCCAAGGAAAGAGATTCTTTTCATTTAACATTTTTTTTGGAAGTTGTCTCTTTACTTGAAATTAGTTAAATAAATGCTATACTGTATAAATGCTACTTTTAATAAAATGCAAATGCCGTTTTATCACAGTCTGTTTATCTTTAAAATAAGAGCCATCTGGAAAGACACGTTATTTTAGATTACTGTTTTGAGTAAAAAAATAAAAAAAACCTAGACAGACTGCTACAGTTTTAGGGCAATGCATATGATACCGCATGTTGTTGGCTTTTCTCAGCTATGAATCGCTCAGCCATGATTTGTGTGTGGTGTAATGCAGGTCCATGAAACAGAAACTTGGTCATAAGCTGCATTTTGACTGTTGGTGTGCTTTTTTGCACAGAATTTGAGGTGTGGTTAGGGAATATAAGAAAGAAGTAGTGACCTTTGCAGAGGAGTCTCAGAGAAAGACCTGGACATTTGATAAGTGTGTTATTCTCAGAGTAACTCAGCTACAAGTGAATGATTGTTGCCAAAGAGGGCAAGCCTCCTTCAAAAGGGGCTGAAAAGCTTATGAGGATAAGATGGAAGTGCTTGGTTTCATTCGCTGTCACAGAAATTGTACTTTTACTGCTCTTGTACTTTTACTGCACTTCAGTTTCACAAGAGTCATTATTTAACGTGCCAAAATGTCTGTTTAGTGCACATTTTCATTATAGAAAAATTAATTAAAAAAAGGATAAAAAATCAATCTACTATGTAAAACAAATATCAAAAGCACCAGGGTGGAATGTCAGAGGCCTTGTGTACAAAAGGCTACAAATACTCACAACAATGGCATACACCTTTTTCTAATTAAAACATTGTATCAAATAAACTCATAAATAACATCAAATGGAGAAGCTATGCTGCAAATCTAATGATAATGTTAAACTTTATAAGTGGCTATGCTTATAAAGTTTAAGATTATCAATAGTTTTGCAACATAGCTCATCTAGCATAATTTCTTGTTTATTAAACTGACTTTTTTAATTTAGTTTATTTTGTTGCTGAAATTAATATTCTAAAGCAGAGGTCTTTAACCCTGGTCAGCAGGATCCACTGTCCTGTATTTTTAAAGTTGCTGTGTTTAGCTATTGCGTCCTCCACAGGCCTAGTTCATTGGTCGATTATCTTGTAGTGGTGCGCCATGGCCCCCTGAAATTTGAAGACTACTTTGTATGCGGCTGACAAATTGTGGCTTTCTTTTACCAAGATCTTGTGTATCCTTTGTAGCATAGAGTATCCTGTGATTCATTAGGAGTCCAAGCAAGCAAACCGCTCCATGCTCAGAGGGAAAAGGGAAATGGCTAAGAACAGTGGTGAATATTGTAACTGCAGTTTAATATAATACAAATATGTGAATAGCTTTGTCTTAAATTAATGAAATAAGTTCTTGAAATGGTTAATGCGTCCTATATGTCGGTGATAATGTTTGGTTTATTGAAAGGTTTTATCTGTCCCTATAAAAATGGATTCTCTCCATTCTCTCCAGTGAGGGGACAATAAGTCTGATGATTGCTGTGCTGCAATGACTACTGCTGCTCAGAACAGTATAATTCTGCATCCATTCTTTCCCTGCTTTGTGAGTAAACTATCACGGTTGCCAGGCGGCAAAGCATACGCTAAGTAAGGGGGAGTGAGAGCTGCCAAAGGCTGGACCTGTTTGAATCTATAGCCAAACTCTTCTGACCTCCTTACTTTCACAGCCTTCGGAAGATGCAGCCGCCAAAATCCAACACAACCAAAGCTGATGTGTAAGAGCAGAAAAACCTAAGACATGTAAAATAGTGGGTCCTGAGCGAAAGGTGTAACCCCTCATTCACACAGACTCCTTAAACTATGCATCCTCTGTTCCGTCAAAAATAAAAGCTTTTCTAGTAAGTGTGTTAATTCCTATCCACTCCGTTGCACTGTACCATGATGCACAGCTCCTTTTGATATTAGATATTGACAAATTTTGCTCCATCATCCGTCCCAAATAAACTCAGTCCACATATGATGGATGATGGAGCAAAATTTGTCAATATCTAATATCAAAAGGAGCCACGCAGAAAGTCAGGCACGGATGTGGAATTTCTTTCCTATTCAAAAAAGTGTTCTTACTGCTTACTCCACAAAAGGTGAATGGATGGGAGCTAGGAACAGGAAATAGGAGGGGAATTTTGCCGCTCAAAACAGGTGTTAAGTTACTCTTCGGTTGTGACTGTTTTAGGCAGAAAATCTAAGTTAGTTTTATTAGCCGGAGATGTTACAATGAATATTTTCAACTTAGAGCCATAAGATTCTTATTTTGAAGTAAGCTGATTGGGTCATATAATAAAAAACATTGCTTCATAAACTTCTGTTTCCACTACATTGCAAAACTATTTAATCTGGACTCTTTGATAAGCTTCAGTTCAAATATCAAAACGCTTAAAAAAAAAAAAAAAACGGGGTTAGGTGAACAGCATCTTGAAATTTCCCAAATCTTTATTCCATTATTGACAACAGAACATAATTTTAGTGCATTTTGGGGATTTGGATGGACAGATTTGGACAGCGACTGCAGCAATACAGTATTCAACCAGTCAAATGTGAACTGGAATATTTTCAATTCACTGTAGACCTTTTAAAAGGCAGAGTTATTGGGTTTCCTTTCTGTTCTATGAGCTAGATAACTTGACATCATTAATGAAGCCATAAAATTCCCTCTCTGCTTAGAAATCATGATAAATAATGTACAGGCAGCAGTGCATGCAGCAGTACAATGATCAAAAGTGTAGAGGCAGTCTACCTCCTAATAGCAAAAATGATATTAATGTTTTGGAGTGGCCAAGTCAAAATTTGGATTGCATTTTATTGAATGTTGTAGCATGATATACAGGAAGAGCAGACCAAAATTTTTCTACAGTAATGTAAAAATCCTATTGCAGCGATTGCAAATGCTTAATGGAATGAGCCAGAAGGGTTTGAAAGAAAAATTATCTAAAAAAGCTTTGTTTGGAAATGATCAATTAACTGCTTTACATTAAAAAATTTTTAAAATCAAAAGCTTTGAAAAGTGACATAATTGAAAGAATTTTTTTCATCGGCTGACCTCCACAGAGTTATTTTGTAAAGACTGCCTCTGACAAGATGGTGTGACTCATCTTGTCTAGTTGTCTGCTTTATCTCAAGGCTGCATGTTTTTGTCAGACTGTAAGAATCAGCGACAGAAATAGATTGCTGTCAAGTCAAAGTGGCAAACAAACGTGTGCATACACATGCACACACACACTGTCATTGTTCTTGCCCAAGTCTCTTAAAAAGGGCCCTTGTTACCATTAGCCTGCTTGTAATTCCTCTCCTGCCATATAATCAACGATGACCTCAAAGCAACACACACAGTAACACACCGATAAACACACAGATGCATCAGCATATAGATTCAGGTCACTTAATTTAAATGCCGATTGTTTAATGGCCTTTAATTATAATAGTAATAGAAAGTCTGCTAAATAGGAGACCACATTATGCCAAAGTGAGCATGTTTGTTTGGGTGCAAGTAACCAGCATTACCATACTTCTTTAAGCCTATGTATAATGGATGAGCAGAGTGTTGAATGGCACAAACACAAATTGGTACAAATAAAGCAGATGCAAAATGTACAATACATTGCAGGAATTGGAACTGAGATCAATAATCGTGGCAACACTTTTTGTTTCAGTGCATCCTAAGTTTAATTCCTTAGAAAGATAAGTCTGAAACCTAAGAGACAAACTCACCTCATAGTGAGCTGTGCGCTGGGACTCAGAGATGAGCTGAGCATTACAGATGTTGCAGTAGCTCTCTGTGAATAAACCTCCATCCACCACACCCACAGACTTCATCTTCATCAAAACCTGCATAAAAATACAAAAACAGCAAAACAATGTGAATAAAACTGAGCCAATTAACATCCATCCATCAAATGTCAGAAAATCCTACAATGTTGCATGTAAACAACTCATATACTAAAGAATGACTAATTAATCATGAGAGCTCAGCCCTAAATATGCTTACCCACTATAATTTTTTAATTTTGTTTTACTGACCTCAAAATATCAGTTCCTTTTAGTGCACTTCAGTCTGTGCCCAATTATCCGAGATTAGATTTGGACTTTAAAAAATAATTCTATAAAATAATATTGCACGATTTTTGGGCCAAGTTCTTAGTACTTAATTAACTACCAAATTATTTCAAGAATTTGGCTCATATGTAGGGCTTATTATGCTTACATATGCTTGATTAAATAAATGTAGGTATAATGATTCATTAAATTTTAACTGAGGATTAGAATGCATGACAACAAATAAATTATTACTTCAGATATAATGAAGTGATGCAAATGCAGTATAATGCAGAGGTTTGGCCTATTCGTTGTATTACATTAGAACTATTTTCCTCATACACTCAATGGTTTAGGTAAGGTTTATGTTGAACATAAACATTCATTTTTATACAGAAATTACTGTTGGTCTTACTTATATATTCATAACAATGGATGTAGAACAAATATGTGTTTTGTTTGAAGCAGAACTCTTTACTGTTTCTGTAGTATAAACTCAGAACGCTTTTTTTTGCTCTGTAAAAACATCAAATATTAGTAATCAGTTTGAAATGTGTTGCCATGGGACAGATGCACTGTGTTGTTATTCTATTTCCACATTTCCACACAGAAATCGGATGTGTTTTACTCCAGATGCCTCCAGCCGCTGCCTAAAGCAACAACTGGAGGTGTATGCTAGATTCTGCAAGTTGAAAAGTAGGGATACGAATATACATGATATTGCCAGCAGTTTTGGGTTCCAAATAAAATTCCTTAAATGAAGGTGTTCAAAAATCTTCCATTAAGATTAGAGTAGAAAATTCGGCACCATACTACTTCTTCAAGCTTTCGTGAAAGACTGAGTCACCTTTAGTAGGTCATTGAAATTTAATGTTGTATTTTGGTATGATGCCATCTGGGTGTACTCCCCTGTCTGGGAGTCCAATAAATGTGCAATTCTAAAATGTACACTATTTTAAAAAATGTAAATATACTATCTTTGGACCCGCGTTTGAAGGAACAGTTCCGGGATGGTTCCTTTCCCTTGTAACATAACATAACCATATAACAGTGCACAAATGTTGGTAAATACATGAATGAGCAAACATGGAGTGGAAGAAATTGAATAACATGCAAAGGGCCCTGAACTCTTAATAGAAAAAAATTTGTTAAAAATCAGTATTTGACTTAAAAATGCACTTTTGGAGGAACTATTGGTTATACCCTTATACACTTTGCAGACAGCCTTTCCAGAAGAGTTGAAGCTGTTATAGACAGCAAGGTTGGGCCAATGTCATACTAAAAACCTAATTATAAGACTGGTATGTAACTCAAGTTCAGATGCGAAAATGAAAATGTGGCATAATACTTTTGGCAGTATAGTATATTAATATATTAATAATACCTGGTTTTGTTTTTTTGTGCAATAAGAAGGTTCTCTCAGTAAAAGATTTGAGGCAGGAACCTGGAACCACTGCTGGACTGGCAATCAGGGATAGCAGGCAATTGCCCGGTTGGCTGATAGTGATTTGGAGCCGTTGGGCTTTTTTTTCTCTCTCTCCTCTATTACGCTCTCTATGCTCACTGTGTCAAAAACCTGGTAGGGATGATTGATGCTGGGCTGCACCAATCACGGCAGGCGAAGGCCAACATAATACCCTCTCATGCCACAGCTGTCAATCAATCAATGAAGACAGAGAGTGGAGAAAATATTGGAAAGAGCTAAGACACAAATAGATGGTACTGAAAAAATATGAATTAGAGACAAGTCCTTCAAGCAGATGCTGCTAAATATGCAAAATGAACTCAGATGTTTTCTGGTGGTTATGGTAGAGAAGCAAATGCAGGTGGGGGGGAGGGTGGCAGGTGGAGAAGAGAACTGTTCCATTTCTGGAGAAATCTTAACTTCACTAAAAAAGTGATAAAGTACAGTTTACCTAGGTCAGGTAATCACAGTACCTTTTTTGGTTAGTTTATTTTCTTTGTGCATGGTAATTCACAGTCAGTAGTTACATTTAGGCCATTTAAGAATTTTGCTTTTATTAACTAGTAACTTAATTTTATTCATTCAGGTGGTTCATTTCTGTCTTTATTGGTTAGATTTAAATATTCCAGTGTTTATCAATAAATATATGTGCACTATGCTGTACTTTTCACTCAGAAACAGCTAAACCTCCACAGTGCAAAAGTGTTTAGCTAAAAACAAATTATGCAGCTTAGATTCAATTCAATTCAGTTTATTTATATAGCACCAATTCACAACACATGCAATTTCAAGGCACTTTACAGTTCACCAGATCAGCCAGTAAAATTGATTCAAAGTTTCTATCTTAGGAAAAAAAAGGTTGATTGCATTGACTCACTGACTCGAAGGTTATTCCTCACACTAAGCATGCTTGTAGCAACAGTGGAGAGGAAAAAGTCACTTTTAACAGAAAAAAAAAACTCCAGCAGAACCAGGCTCAGTGTGAGCGACCATCTGCCGAGGCCGACTGGGGTTCAGGGAGACAGAAGCAGAGGTACAAAAGGCAACTGTAAAACGCGGCTCCGTCCAGGAAACACACAGCCAGGCAGACAAGCTCCAACCCAGCTCCCATGTCAGAGGATGAAGAGAGCACATCCAACCAGTCATAGTCAGAGAAACAGGACTACGCTGAAAAACAGGCCGATCTGGAACATCTATAAACAAAGGTGTTTATGGCAGCAGCACAGCTGATATTTCTAAGTGTTTAGCAGCATAACTATAGCTCAAGATAACATGAGCCACTCTACCTATACAGTAAGCTTTATCAAAAAGGAAAGTTTTAAGCCTACCCTTAAAAGTAGACAGGATGTCTCACAGACTACTGGTAGTTGGTTCCACAGGAGAGGAGACTGATAACTAAAAGATCTGCCTTCTATTCTACTTTTAGAAATTCTAGGAACCACAAGTAAACCTGCAGATTTAGAGCGAAGTGCTCTGTTAGGAACTTATGAAACAATTATATCTTAGATGGAGCTTGGGCATTTAAGGCTTTATATGTGAGAAGGGGGATTTTAAATTATATTCTGGATTTAACAGGAAGCCTAAGAAGATAAGCCAGGATAGGACAGATATGATCTCTCTTATTAATTTTCATCAGAACTCTGGCTGCAGCATTTTGGATCGGCTGAAGGCTTTTAAATACAGGTTGTGGACTTCCTGGGAGTAAAGAATTACAATAGTGCATCCTTGAAGTAACAAATGCATGGACTAGTTTCTCAGCATCACCCCTGGACAGGATATTTCAAAATTTTGCAATATTGCACAAATGAAAGAAAGAAATTCTAGAACCCTCTTTGATATGGGATTTAAATGACAGGTCCTGATCAAAAATAACACCAAGATTTTCTACTTTATTTTCTGAAATCAGTTGAATCCAATCCAGATGAAGTGACTGACTAAACATTTTTTTTTTTTCAAAGACTCTGGCCCAAAGCCTATAACCTCTGCTTTACCTGCAGTCAGGAGCAGAAAGTTAAGAGTCATCCAGGTTTTTATGTCTTGAAGACATGTCTGTAATCTATGTAATGGGTTAGCTTCATCTGGATTTATAGACAGATATAGCTGGGTATCATCAGCATAACAGTGGAAATTAATCCCATGCTGTCTAATAATTTTACTGATTGGGAGCAAATATATATAGTAAAGAGAAATGGTCCTAGCACTGATCCCTGTGGTACTCCACAGGTAACCCTTGAGCATGAGTAAGATTTGTCATTAATGTGAACAAACTAAAATTGATCAGATAGACAAGATTTGAACCAGTCTAGTGCTGTTTCTTTAATTCCTACAAAATATTCAAGTCTTTCTAAAAGAATATTATGATCAACTGTATCAAATGAAGCACTGAGATATAACAGGACAAGTACAGATGCAAGTCCATTACCTGAGGCCATGAGAATATTATTAGCAACTTTCACCAGAGCTGTTTCAGTGCTATGATGAGCTCTAAAGCCAGACTGAAACTCTTCAAAAAGTTCATTATGGTGTAAGTGATCGCACACTTGTTTGGCAACTACTTCTCAAGAATTTTAGATAAGAAAGGAAGACTGGATATAGGTCTATAATTGAGCAAGTCATCAGTGTCAAGAAAAAGTTTCTTAAGTACAGGTTTAATTACAGCAACCTTAAAACCCTTCGGTATATATCCCTGTAATAGAGTTAGATTAATCACATCTAAAATGAGGGACAAGATCAAGAATCACACAAAATTATTACTGCTAATAGAAGGTGGGATGGACGGTTCAACAAAGCTATGGCTCTGGGTGAGTTTGGAAACTGTATCAAAAAGATATCTAGGATTATTCTTATTCTCCTCTATTAATGAGGAAAAAATATGTTGCTCTTGCTTTACAATTATATTATGTATAATATAATACACTTCTGTCCTTAAATCACTGTAATTATTACACACTGTATCTTTAAATATGAGCATAGATCATTTGAGCAACATTGTTTAAATGATATACCAGGGGAAAAAAGTATCTTAAGTGTCTTAAAACTTTTAAAATCAAAACAATAAAAAGACCTGAAATACACGCTATTGCCCCAAAGCCTTAACAAGTAGGCAGCAGCGCTTTTGGTTTTAACTTGCGTGGCTTTAAAAAAATACCCTATTAATAACGCACTCTTGAATCTTTTGTTCAATTTTCTTCATAAGTGTCCCCTTAAGATGCCGCTCTGGCTGGACTGAGGTGAGTTATGAGTCTTCAGGGAATGATTCTGAAACATAAACTGTTCGGCAGCATGAGATCCATTCACCAGAGAAGCCACAACAAAGAGGGGTTTACAA